ATACTTTGTTTCTAATATCTCAGTATTGTGTCTCATCAAAGAAGTTATTAGTGAAAACTCTCCTTATGTCTTTCCGACAAATCAAGGATCCGGGTGGCAATTCCTCTAGCCACCTCTTGGCTTCCCCTCCAAGAGAGAATGAAAAACCTTGCAGCGATTGTAATCATTACACACCATATCTTCTAATTTTTGATGTGATCATATGGGTGCTCTACAGGAAAGCCATGAAAGGGGTTCTGGTGTACTAGAATGTGTAAGTGAGATTAAGCTTAGACCATCCTGAGTTGTTTCTTGTTAGTCGGATCACAGAACTATTGGAATAGGTCCTATTGGGTCCTAAAAAATCTTGCATTGATAATTGATGTTCGTTCTCAATTTTTCAAAATTATAATAAATTTATCAGAGATTCCTGCCCCCTTTTCATTTATGAGTTGGTTTGTGTATTGCAAGTTTGACATTCAGGATCTTCTAGGATTACTTCCTCATTAATATCTAAAGTGGTAAGTGTATACTTACCTGCTTTTGGCGGAGTGTTGCCAATCGGTATAGATGGGATGGTTTCAATCGGCGCCTCTAGTTCTATGTTGATCGATTTTTTTGTGTTCCACCAATTATTTTCGTTTTCCAGAGTCCATGTTCTTCTAACATGCCTGTTTTAGCAAAGATAAAGGAAAAATGTGTAAACAACAAAATAAATATCTAGACTATACTTTAAACTAAATCTAATGGTAGTAAGAAAGAGTCTCCGGAAACGACGAAAAATTTGATATCACTCATATTACCCTAAGAGCAACTTTACTTTTTAAAATAAGAGCATAAATCATAAGAATTTCCCTACCAACAATATAGATTCAGCAGACCATTCAATATAGATTCAGCAGACCATTCAACAACCTTTATAGAACCCTAGGTTTAACAATAGAACTAATCAGACATAATCATAAAGATCATAATGATAGTCTGAATAAATTGCATAAATAAGTAAGAAACAAAGCAGAGAAACAAACGAAGTTCAAGATCTTCTCTCTTAAGGTGTACAGATCTCTCTCTCTCTCTCCATTCCTAATCTTTCTCTCCTCTGGAACAATGGAGTAGTTAGGATGTGTAAAAGAAGCGTTGTTTGCAAAACAGAAGAAACCCCTAATAAATAGCCTAACATGGGGCCAGGAATTTGAAATGCAATTAGTGGAATTTCTGGGAAATTCTTGTAATTTCCTCAAATCATCGTTAAGCGTCCTGAAAACTTCTCGGTTGACACACATGTGTCAGTGTCTATCGATGCTCATCGTAAGAACATGCTCTGATTTCAAGTTTTTAGGACGCTTCTTCAAAGCTCTAAAATGATCCAAAAGCTCCAATATTGTCCAATAAGTACCTAGGCCAATAAAGATCTAAAATCACTCCAAATGCATATAAAAGACTCTACAAACATACATATATCATGGGTGAAAACCAGTAATATCCATGACATATCACTTAGCGTCTTAGACTTTATCTACGCATCTTATAATGCTTTCCTTGGACTTATTTTGTTTTGCCTTGGAAGCATTTGCTTAAGAATGGAAATATTATCTTTGAATTCTCTTTTTTTTTTCTTTTCATAAATGATTGGTTCATAACAATAATGATTATTTATATGAAAAAAATACATATAATTTTGTATATTAGAAACGACAAGGTTTTTAAAATATATTGTGTGATAACTATAATATCCTATGATCCGACGTGGTTAGTTCGTTTAATCGCAAGCGTTGGTAATGTTGTGCTGCTTGTTCAAAACCTGGTGGAAGGAGAGTTTATATTATTTCTTGGTATAAAAAAAGAACAAATATCCCCGGGTCTCAGGGGATTATTTGGGCCTAATTAAGATCATGAAACTTCTTAGTTAACTAAAAAACATTTATTATAATTTCCCACCATGTATTGTTTTAAAAAATGTCTTATTACTACATAACTAACATCTAATATCCTAGCCAACGTGAAAGGAGGATACTAATACGAAACATATTCACCAAATCAAGTTAAGTTGGAGAATCCTGGCATTCTCGAGACTCATGGTTTTGAATTTTTCTTCGCTAGTAGTGTCGAGAATAGTCTGGTAGTTTAGATTTAGACCTCTGTCAAAGGTTTTAATTAGTTGAAGTAGCCATGGTGGGGGCATTCATGCTGGTGAGATTTAAACCTTCCCCAAACATTTTTGAAAGATTAGCTAATACCTTGGGAAAATGTTAATATTTTGGTTCTAGTCTCCAGTATTGTGTCTCACCTGAGAAGTTATTAATGAAAACGCTCCTTATGTCTTTCCAACAAATCAAGGATCCGGGTGGCAACTGGTCTAGCAACCTCTTGGCTTCTCCTCCAAGAGATAATGAAAAAAAATTTTGCAGCTATTGTAATCGTCACACACTATATCTTCTAACTTCTCGATGTGATCGTATGGGTGCTCTATTGGAAAGCCATAAAAGGGGTTCTGATGTACCAGAATCAGGAAGTCGAGATTAAGCTCAGACCATTTTGTGTTGTTTCTTGGTTCTTTTATCGCAAACCTATTGGAATAGGTCCTATTGGGTCTTAAGAAATCTTGCATTGATAATTGATGTCCGTTCTCATTGTTCAAAGTTATAGTAATTTTACCAGAGACTGCAGCCCCCTTTTCATTAATGAGTTGGTTTGTGTATTGCAAGTGTGACCTTCACGATCTTCTAGGACTACTTCCTTATTATTATCTAAAGTGGTAAATGTAGACTTACCTGCTTATGGCAGAGTGGTGCCAATCGGTATAGATGGGATTGTTTTGATCATCGCATCTAGTGCTATGTCGATCGATTCATCTTGTGTTCTGTCGATCGATTCCCGTTTTCCAGAGTGCTCTAGCGTACATGTTTCAACAAAGATGAAGGAAAAAAATGTAAACAGGGAAATAAAAATCTAGACTATATTCTAAACCACATCTAATGGTAAGAAGAAAAAGTCCCCGGCAACGATGAGCAACTTTACTCTCTAAAATAAGAAGTCTAGGTGTTGTACTTAGAGATCAAATCAAATGAGTCTCTAAGATTACACAATAGATTTATTGTCTTTAAATAAAGCTAGATGACAATGGTAAAAGCAGTAAGTAATGAGTTTTAGTGTTGTAAGTTATCAAGATGAGATGAAGCGAGACTTAGGTGAACTTTCACATGTAATAGAAAGGCAAGATAATTATGTTATCAGGGATATATTAAAATGCAGTTCTCGAACTCAAAAATCAAGTTCTTTGTCAAATTTCATATGTGAGATTATCTAATGTCTAAACCTCAAACTTCTACTTCCGTAGTTAAATCCTTGGAGAGTATCGATCGACACCAGAGTGCGGTTGTCGCTCAATACAACTTCTAAACAAGCTTTAATGCGTAAGTTTGATAAATTCTCTAACCTCCTAGACCAACTATCGTATGTGTCTAGTCAATCAGATCATAATAGTCTTAATTTAGGTAGTAAACCAAACCTTCGCTTGCGCCGACCTATCCTAAGATCTAGGTTTTAGGTGATCAATCTTAATCCTAACAGTAAGAACAACTAGATGAAGAACTAATTAATTTCCTAGAAACAATATAGATTTAAAAGACCATTCAACAACCTTTATAGAACCCTAGGTCTAACAGTAGAACTACTCAAACATAATCATAAAGAACATAATGATAGTCTGAATAAATTGCATAAATAAGTAAGAAACAAAGTAGAGAAAAGTTTTTCAGATCTCTCTCTCTCTCCAATCCTAATCTTTCTATCCTAACATGCGTCAAAAACGTGTTGTTTGCAAAACAATAGAAACCTTAATAAATAGCCTAACATGTGGCTAGGAATTCAAAGTGCAATTACTGAAACTTCTGGAAAATTCTTATAATTTCCTCAAATCATCATTAAACCCTGGGGTAGCTGGTATGTCGATCGACACACATGGGTCAGTGTCGATCGATGCTCATCGTAGGAACATGCTCCAACTTCAAGTATTCAGGAGAGCTTCTTCAAAGCTCTAAAATGATTCAAAAGCTCCAATATTGTCCAATAAGTACATATATCTGTAAAAATCTAAAATAATTCAAATGCATATGAAACACTCTAAAAACATACATATATAATGTGTGAAAACAGATAAAAGTCATGACGTATCGCAAAGCTTCTTAGACTTTTTCTACCCATCTTGTAATGCTTTCTTTGGACTTATTTCGTTTTACCTTGGAAGCATTTGCCTAAGACTACAAATCTTATCTTTGTACGTTCTTTATTATCTCTTGTATAAAAAAAGAGCACATTTTCCCGGCCAAGAAACTTCTTAATTAACAAAAAAAAATATAATAATTTTCCACTGTGTAATGTTGTAAACCAATGTTTTATTATTACAAAAGTTAAGAAACTGTTTCTTATATTCCCCTAACAACTTCATCCTAAGACAACTTCATCCTAAGAAATCCTAGATAATGATGTTCTATTGTTCTAGCGCCCACGTGAACGGCAGATACTAAAGGTGAAGAATATTTTACCAAATCAAGTAAAGTTGGAGAATTTGTCCCCACCACCACAAAAAAAAAACCAATGGGAGAAAATGAGATAATGAGAGAGCGGGAAGAGTGGGGTAGTAGTGGTTGGGTTAAAGACAGGTACCACTTGGGTCTACCCACTTTAATGTAGTTAGGGATTACTTTCGGCCAATAAATGGAGAGTGGAGCATTGACTACTGTGCATCTGCTCTACCAAATTAATTTGTTGAATTCTTAAACATTGGTCCATCTTTTAGTTGTAGTCGACATTTTAGCGAAAGATTATTAAGGTTTTTGTTTACTGGGAAGCAATAGATAACTTGCGGGCCGTTGTTTGAGGGAAATTACCCTTTATTTGCATTAGCCTATTCCAAACATGTACAAACAGGAAATAGGTGGATCAAACTAATGATATATTATGTATATTGTAGGTTGCAAACTTATGCGACCTCGTGTTTAAGAAAGAATGCGTACGTAGAAGACTTATGTGAATTAATTTAGAACCATGATCAACACCAGAAAGCGGAGCAAGTTCCTTGAAATGTATCTTTTGATAAATGAGAATACTATATTATCAAAATTGGGATGTGCGCTCTTTCAATAGCATATATTTTGTTCTCCTTAAATCACTGAAAGGTGGAGTGCTTAAAAAACAAAATTATTCAGAGTCTCAACCACTACATATTGCTTTAGTTATCTGTCTCCCATCATATGTGTGTCCCTCGTATTAAATAGGTGCAAAAATTTACGTTCATATATAATCATCAAACTCCCATAAGATCAGCCACACAAACAAGATGGATTGGTTCTCGTGGCTATCAAAAACCGACCTTGACCCAACCATAAGCTACGAGTACGGACTCATCTTCGTCCAGAAGAAGCTCCAAAGTGAAGACATTGCGCTTTTCAATCACAACTTCCTCAGGCGACATGGCATTACTGTGGCTAAACACCGCCTAGAGATTCTGAAGCTCTCGAAGAGTGAAACAGAAACACTTAGCTCCTATCACCATCGTCCGGCCTCAGCCAAATTCATCTCTGTCCTCATTAAGGCGACAAAAAGTATTGGCAACCGCTTCAACAAGTGGTTTTTCCTCGTAGAAACCGCCGTGATTGAACCGGTGATGGAGAAGCAGTCGCCAGAACCTTCTAGCCGTGGAGAAGCGTTTGTGAGTGGTAAGGTCAAGATAATGCACCTAATCACGACTTTTTGCAACAAGATTTTCTATAATAACTACTACAAAAGTGATATTTTGTAATGGTACTGAGTAAATAATTCACATTTTGTTTTGTGCGTTAGTTAAGAAACTCTAAGAAAAATTGTTTAAACTACACATTCTTAATACCAGTTTTCAGTTTACATTAACCATATTTACTTTGACTTCTAAAAAGTAAACTAGACCTTGACCCGCCCGACCGGGTATTTATTTTATGTTTTTGTTTATATTAAATGATATATTTATAATACTTAAACATAAAGTTTGATTGAAAATTAATCTTTACAGTTATAATAATTCAAATTAAAAATTTAATAAAATATTCTGATATTAATTTTAAATTTCTTAATTAAAATAATATAGAGGTGGGTCATAATTTTTTCCAATTCCAAAATCTTATCATCCCTTAAAAAAATTATAACTACTTAAAATATATAAACATAAGTAGAACTATAAATTCTATAATATCTTAAAGAAAAATAACATATTATCTCTTACTAATGAATATTAAAATATTTAATATGTTAATACCAAATATATTAGGATATTTATTTTGGTTAATATTTGACTAAGGAAACCTATTATTTAAACTATGAAAATATATTAAATATTTAAATCTATTATTTAAATTAGAAAAAGACAAGCATGCTTAAATATAGATTCAATATATATCTCAATGGCATTTTATTGTAAATAACTGATAAAATTAAGGGTTTTTTTTATTAGTACTTCTCTTTTAATAATATAGATAAATATTTATATATCTTATTAACTAATCTATAGTTAAGGTATAGATTAAAGGGATGTGGTTTTAGAGGGTAGGGTATAGGATTTTAAAAAATAAATAAGTAAATACTTGTTAAGCTCACGGATTACCGCACTTGTTAAAAAAAAAATAGAAAGCGAAATGTTGAAAAAGACCCAAAACTTCATCTTTGATGTTTTTGAAGAAGCTCTGATTTAACATTTATGAAAATTAATTATCTTCAATAACATTAAAATGATCACACCTGTTAAAAAATAGAAAGATAAATGTTTTTCAAAACGACTTAAAACTTCAACTTTGATGTTTTTGAAGAACCTATATCCCAACTGTTGTTCACATACATAAAACTATTTAATTAAAATATAAATTTTCTATAGAGTTTATGTATTTTAAGTTTTGTATATTATTAGAGCATCTCCAACCCAAGACCTCATTTTAAGGGGAGCAAAACCTCAAATGAGGTTTTGAGGGTTGATTGCTCCAACTATAAAACCTCAAAAAATTCTTAAAACTTTATATTATTTGCATTATAGTCCTTGATATTAATAAAAACTATGAATAATGACAATATTTTACAAATACATATTAAACATACACTTAATATATTATAAAACACACAAAATTAAAATATTATATGATAAAAAATATAAATTACATATATAATAAAATAATATACACATAGAAAAAAATTAGAAAGTTACATATAATATACCACTTGTAAAATATGCAATACTTAAATGTTTCTATAATTTGCTTTAATTTATGTTAAGTTTGTTTAATGTTTTTTTAATGAGTTTTAATTAACGTATTTTTTATATTTGTGTAAATTTACTTTTAATTTTCTGTATTATTTATTATATTTTATTTTGTTTTGGTATATTTAAGTTATCTAAATAAATTTAATAAATGTATTTGTGAAAGAAAATAATTGTAAGGATTAAAAAGAAAATGAATAGTAGTTTTGAGGTTTTGAACAGTGAAACCTCAAATTTGAGGTGTCACTATTCAAAATCTCAAAATTTGAGGTTTGAGGTTCGGTTGGAATGACAAAAACCTCAAAATTTGAGAATTTGAGGTTGGGTTGTAGATGCTCTTAATATGTTATTTTATGTACAATAGATATTTCTTTTAATTTTTTTAAGTAGATAATATTTTGTATGGTAAAGAGACTTCTAGTGTGTACTATGGATTTTTAAGTCATATTAAGATGATCTATCAGAAATATCATTTTTTATCATAAATAAAAACTGTAATTTCTATTTAAGTAATCTCACTTAACTTTTTTTTTGAAATGATATAAAATTGAAATCGGATAGTTCATCTTTTTATTCTTCTCTTATTAGTAAAAACTTTGGTCAAAGACTGACACTTATATGAATTCAGATTACTAAAGATTGCTAAGAAGTTATTTAGGTGGTTAGTTGTTAAATTTACGGAATTTTTTTTGAAACAAAACAGATTTTGTTTTTTTAATATGGATATTCCTATACATAGAATATATACTTTATAACAATATCCCACATTTTGATGCGTATATGGTTTCAAATATATGGAAATTATATATTCTAGAATTGTTCCATTTACAGGAATATTCCTAATTTTGAAATTATTGCATACCAATAAAATTTCTCTTGTTTATAAGTTTAGAATAATATTGATTAAATAATACAAAATATACTGATTAAAGACTAATTGGAGAAATGTAAATGAGAAAATATATTAAAAGCATCTATTCTATTAAAATATAGTCCTGTTTTTATCTACCATAAAAGTTGTCATTTAAATTTTGGACTTATTCATAGTTCTACCATTTAATATACATAATATACTTAATATTAACTTAACTACTTAATCTACTAACTACAGTAGAATCTCTATAAATTAATACTCGATAAATTAATAATTTCTGTAAAATAATAAATTTCACCGGTCCCAACTTGGGCCAGTGTAAAATATGACACAAATCGATAAAATAATAAGATAATAATATTTTAAAACTGTCATGTAAATATGGTCCCACTAAAATCATAAATTAATAATCTAGCTATATATAATTTTATATAAGTACAATCTAACATTATATTGTTGGTTTTATATTTATTATAAAAATACTTTTATTTTTTGAAAAAAATTCAATATATTTTGATATATATTTAGTTAGGTGTTTTATATTTACTATAAAAATACTTTTATTTTTTAAACATTTCAATATATTTTTATAATATTTAGTTAAATTATATAGAAAACCATGTAACAATTCTATGAAACATAAAAATATACACCAAATAATATAATAAAAGAATTTAAATAATGTACATATGCTAAAATCAAATATTTTTCTATTTTATAAATAAAAATGGAAAAAATATAAAAAATCCAAATAAGGAAACTTTCGTAAATTAATATCTCTATAAATTTAATAAAATTTCACAGTCCCACCATTATTAATTTATAGAGGTTTTACTGTAGGTGGCCGGCCCGCACGCCTGTGCGCACATTAGTATAACTATCCATCGCATAAACATTGATATGAGTGTATAAATATATTGTAACTCTCTTTCTCTTCTACGTAGGTATTCCGTTTTTCCTTGTATATCTTTTTATCTTATTAATTTCGTTTTTTTCTTGGTTTTTTTCACACACATTCTTTTTATCTCTTTTGTATCTCTTTCCCCGTTTTTTTATCTGTCATTGTACCTCTTTTGCTTGCTTTCCCTTTTTCTTTTTTCTCTCTTGATCAAATAATCTCAAAATCTTTCAAACTTACATTCACTCTCTCTTAATCATTTATATTCTTTCTTTTACCCCATTTTATTATAATCCTCAATATTTTACTTTCATACTTTTCTTTTTTTTTTTTTGTTACAAAATTTTTACCAGGTTCTATTAAATCTTCAAAATACTCTCACATAATATTAATAAATGATTTCATGATCTATCTCACTTACATTCAGTCTCTCACTTATTTCACTCTCATATCCATCATGATCATAACCCTTACTCCTCATCATCAACATTTCTCCCTTTATCACCTATTTTTTTTATTTAGCTTTTAACGTAAAACTCACAATTAAATTCACAACAAGTTAACCAAACAAATTCATTATTAAATTCTTTCCAATTTTTATACTATCTTATCAAATATTGATTCACTTGACCAAGACTTTCATTAGAAACAAATATGTTTAAAAAAATATTATTATTTTTTTTAAATTACTTCAATACACACCTATTTTAAATAAATCTAATTTACGGTGTTTCAAAAAAAATGATTAACTAATTATATATCCTAAAAATATGAATTTTTAAATAATGTGATGTCATTAGACATAGATGTATCAAAATAACATGTTTCTATTTGTATAAATTTTGTTATAACTTTGTTATCCTACATTTTCAAAAATTATTATACCGCAAAAAATACTTATCATTATTTTAAAATAATTTTATTTTAAATTTAATTTACGTTATATTTTGCATTTTCGACATTAATGAATTTAGAACTTATCATTTATATTTATCTTCCTTGCTCAATTTTTTTTTATGTTGTCTAAACAACCTAAAACTAATTAGTTTACAATCATACTAATACGGAAAAACATATTTCGGTATACAAATAAAAATGATGTAGGAAAAAATATAAAAATCACGAAGAATACAACAAAAGGTTTTATTATTATTCACTCATATTTTTTTACATTTATGTCTAATTTTTTATCATTAAAAATTAACATGCCAATTTTATTATACTCAAAGCTATATGAATAGAATAACTCTAGTCTCGTATTAATATAATTCAACTATAATACCATTTTGTCATTGAAAAAGATTGATTTTTTAATTATATATTTGAATATTTTACATTTATTTGATATAATTTTAGAATATATGTATATAGTGGGTATAATTATTATTAGGTTTATATTTATTATTGTATTCACTAAAATATAACATATTTAAATACTTTTGGATCATCATTTTTGTCGGAGAGACTAAGATTTGTAAATATCCGTATATATTTAAATAATTTATATAATGTAATCTATGATAATAAATTGCTTCAATGAATAAATTATGTTAATTTGTTTATATTTAATATATTTGGTTGTTTATTTGGTAATATAGTTAGATAAGGTAATTTTATTATTAGTTTCCTTTTAAAAACTTTAATTAAGTAAATTAAAATTCAAATA